TATATAAATTTTTTTCATTTAAAAGAACAGTTTGTTAAAGATAACAGCCACTCTTCTGAGTACAGAGTGATGAAATACTAAAGTGGTGACGCTGGTGAACAATAGTTTACTCACAGTGGGTCATAGTTGCAGCACTCACGAAAACCGAAACCTGCCGTGGCCAAGGGACCACGTGGACTTGTCCTGTTTTAAGAAGGGGCTCAGCCAGGGTCTCACCTAAGACCAGCATCATGGGCACCACTGTGAGCCCCTCCTGGCCCAAACATGACTGTCCCACCGCCTCCTGCAGAGCAGGCTTTCCATAAGTGGCCTTCCAGGAAACATGACTGAGTTCTACTACTGCTGACAGGGCCCGGGGTGGAGATGAGTCGCGTTTTAGACGATTCAGAAGGGCTGGGGCCCCAGCAGACATGCGCTGGAGGGGGAAGGGGGCCGACTATTTTTGTATCCTTAAATCATCTTATGAATGTGCCCCTCAGAAGAAGCCAGTGGGATTCTGTGCACAAAGGGCATTTGGGGATGTCCCCTCCTGGGGGCTTGTTGGAACCCCTCTGTGTCCTCTGCGACCATAGGGAACCATGGCCACCTGCTTCACGTGGGCGCAGCAAGAACGCTGCAGTCTGCCCAGCTCTGGTCCAAAGTGACAGAAAACTTTATCAAATAAAGTTTTATTTTCCCCATTAAAGTATTCCTTTACTCATTTAGAGGCATTACTTTTTCTAAATATTGGTCAATTCCGGATACAAGGGTGAGGTTCACAGTTGTATTCCATATTCACAATTTCCTGATTTTTCAATTAGGAAGAGTCAAATCCAAAATGTTAGCGAAACAAAGTGCAATATTGAATGTCTGCTTTATAGATGATATTCTATGGCTGTTTGTAATTCTTTCTGTTTGTTTTTTTTAATTTGGTGCTGAATATGTATGTCTTTGTAGGCTGTTTAAGAAAACAATATGTGGGAAATGATTTAATTTTTCCTGTTGCTCTTCCTTGTGGAAAATAAAGGTTTTTTTTTTTCTTTTTTGTATAACTGGAGGTTTATTTAAATCATGGTCTTACTATATTTGTCACACCTGGAAACAGTACTACAGTTTAAACCAAGCCATTCTTGTAAGTTATTTCTTAGATCTGCACTAAAAGAGAATTACTTAGGACTTGAAGGAATTGTGAATGCTGTTTTAATGATACAGTCATTGCAGATGTAAGCTAGGAGCATATAACTCTCAGTCTTAAATATCAGCCAAAGTTAACCAATTAGTTTCAGGTAACCGGTTTCCTCCTACTATGATGTGTCTAGTTTGTAGTAGAGAATTGCAATTTAAATTTTCTTATCTTGAAAAACATGCATTCTTTTTTTCTTTTCTTTTTTTTTTTTTTTTTTTGGCGGAACCAGGGATTGAACTCAGGCTCTTATGTTTGCCAGGGAAGCACTTACTCTACTGAGCCATCTCCCGGGCCCTGATTTTTTCTGAATTGTGACAACTTTGGATATAGTGGTGCATGCCTGTCATCCCAGCACTTCGGGGGCTGATGGAGGAGGATTGCTGCAAGTTGGAGGCCAGCAGGGCTATAATAGCAAGGCCTTGTCCAAAGCAACCTGTTCTGTGACAGTGACTTGCTATGTGCTTAGCACTGGCCTCAGTCCGAAGCTCCTCCCTATGTATCCCAGGCTGCCCTTGATCCTCCTGCCTCAGCCTCATGAGTCCCTGGGACTTCAGGCATGGGCCACCGAGCCTGACAAGAATCTGAATTTTATAGTGATGAGTAACTTCAAGTTCTTTTGGAATCAATTAGAATTTTTCTAAGTGTTTGTACTTGAAACTGACTACAGTTTCGGTGAGTACTGAAAATCCAATAGTAATACAACTTCTGTGGGATTTTCAGTACTCGCCGAAATTGTCAGTTCACGTGACTGATACACAGGTAGAGCCTGTCTTCCGGAAGTACTACCAGCCTTAGGTCACAGGAAGTAAACTGGCAGCAGGGGAAGTGTCACAAGGCCCCAGTTCTAGCTATGAGGGATGTGACAGGATGTGACGGCAGCTGCAACTTCGCACTGGCTGTCCAGGGCTCATTGCTGATGCCCGCTGTGACCCGTCTAAGGCGATGGCCCCTACTGCACTTGCAACACAGAGCACATCCCACCTCCCACGGCTGGGAATGCCTCATACTGTGGTCTGACTGCACAGGGACATTAATCATCTGTTATCCATATTATAAGCTGTGTGTCCCGCTCTCCTAGGTAGAATTATGGAACAGCTGAGTTTGGTATATTTATCAGGACTTTGTTTTCCGATAAGCTGCCACTAGGTTGCCTAGATTGTCCTGCCTCAGCCTCCTGAACTGCTGAGATTGGTGTGTGCCGTTGTGCCAGCTGGTTTTACCCCGTCATGCAGTTCTTTGGCTTGACGGTTGTGGGGTCAGGCTCTACCCCACGGAGACTCTCAGCTGTGCCAGGCGGAGGGAGGGAGGGAAGCACAGCTGGTTCTGGAAGGGCAGCAAAATACTGGCACACCCGCGTGGGGGCATGCTGTGGCCTCCACACAGTGGCACTTTTCACACTGGCCTTTATGGCTTCCTATGGATAGGGTCAGAAAGGAGGAGCTCCTGGGTGGTGACTCCTGGCTCCAGGCAGTGGAGAACCGAGGCGTGAGGAGGGGTCTCCCAAGCAGCAGAGGCACAGACACCAGAAGCTGGCCCCCGAGCGAGCGGCCCAGCACCTGAGCCCTAGGTGGGGCGGCAGTGTGGGGAACCCACTCCCCTAGGCAGACAGGCTCAAGCTTTGCAGTTCCCCATCTGCAGCCTGCCTTGCCTGGGACGCTCATGACCAAGTGACAGGATGCTTCAGCTTTTCATTTCCCCATTTCAAAACCAATAGACAGGAGACCAGTGGTTCAATTCTTGTGAAAAATCGTAGCACTACAAGAGCTGGGCATGTGGTGCAGCCTGTGATCTCCAGCAGGCTCAGGCAGGAGGATCGCTGTGAGTTCGAGGGGAGCCTAAACTGCACAGTGAACCTACACTGTCTCAAATATCCAAACACATGCCTGCCTGGCCATGGACCCAGGACCCTTGTCCTTGCAAAGGGAAACATAGAAGGAAATTTTAAAATGATTTTTCAAACCAGCTGCACAAATAAGCAACTTGGACAAATGACTCAGAGACAGCCGAGGGAGCGCAGGACGCTGCAGCTGCTTGGGCAGAGATGGCGCTCTGCAGCCTAGTGGAGTTGGGCACTCTGGTGGGGGTGACAGTCCCACCGGGAGCTTGGCTGTGAGGGACAGCATAGCCCAGCTCGTGTGTGCTTCGTGGGCAGAGTCATGCCCTCAATCAAAAGGCCGGTGGGCGACCAGCTTCCCCTGGCCAAGCCCCCACACGGCCACCAGCTCTGCTCTCACTAGCGCCTTCAGCTTCGTGCTGTGCTGCCCCGATGTCCTCAATGCCGGGGCCAGGCAGCAGCCCAGCACTTAGGAGGCTGAGGCAGAAGGACCACTGAGCACTCCGTGGAAGCCAGCCTGGGCTACAAAGTGAGTTCAAAGCCATATGAACTACGTAGTGAGGCCCTGTCTCAAAGACACCAAAAAGAGAAGAAGGGAGAGGGAGAGGCAGGGAAGAAGTAGAGCACAACACTGGCGGGCTGGCCAAGCTGTGAACTCAGCAGAGCCCCTTCTGACCCCAGAGTCTGCCAGACTGGAGCCCAGCTGGGACATGTCCCTCCAGGCAGCCTGAACCAGCAGGCCTGCCCTTCCTGCCACAGCCCAAGTGCCCTTCCTCAGAAGGCAGGCCGGGCCCCGAGCACTGAGGAAGTCAAAGCAGGCACAGTGCTGCACGTGGTCATCCCAGCTCTCGGGAGGCTGAGGCAGGAGAATTGCTGCAAGCCCAGCCTGAGCAATTTAGCAAGAGACTGTGTCGGGGTAAAGGGCACTTGTTTTAAGGGTTAGGGTGTAACACAAACTCAGCAGAAACTCCTAGCCCAGGCCCGTGGCGGCCCCAGGGCCTTACACAAACGGCACCCCTAGGAGCTGTACCACCAGGCCCGCTCAGGGTTTTGCAAGACCCCTCGAGGGCTCATGCTCTCATCTTCCTGCTTTGGGGGTTTGGGCTGGGAGAGTGATCCAGGTTGCATCCACCACAGTGGACAGAACCTGTGACCTCAACAGATGACCATGAATGGGGGCAGCAGGACCAGACACAAAAGCCCAAGGATAAGCCGTGGCGGAGACGCTGAGTGTCCACTGCGTTTCCAACAAGGCCAGGAGCCTACCTTGGTGTCTTGTTTTTGTTTTATTTTTAGAGACAGGGTCTCAGTATGTAGTCCAGACTGCTTGAACTGTTCATAATCCTGCCTCAGCTTCCCAGGAACTGGAATTACAGGCATGCACCACTATGCCCGGCTCTGCTTTTAACTTCTAAGTATTTGAACACATACATGGTTCTCTACAGGTCTGGATGCTGTGTCCTCTTGTCCCGTTAGCCCATCTGCTGGGGGTGGATCTTACCTGGCCTGGACCCAGAATTCCCAGAAAGGCTGGCCCAAGCTACCTGGAAGCAAAGGGAACCTGCAGCCAGGGTAGGGATGGAGCCGAGACCTCCCTGGTCTCCACACATTGTTGTTAGCTGAGATCTGAGTGCTGATTCTGTTCTGTTTTATTTTGGGGTTTTGTTGTTGTTGTATTTTTGTTTTGTTCTGTTCTCAAGTACTGAGCATGGGACAGTTCAGCCTGTGCTCTGAATCCTACCTCCAGCCCTTTTTTCTTTTATTTTGAGAAAGGATTTTGCTAAGTTGCCAAACTGCTCAGGCTGGACTCAAATTTGATCCTCCTGCCTTAGCCTCTGGAGTGTGGACATCACAGGCCACCATGCCCAGCTGCGTCCAGTAAGCTCT